TTTTTTTTTTGGTACCGGGGATTGAACTCGGGTCCTTATGCTTACGCAGCAGGGGGTGAAACCACTGAGCTAAATCCCCGGTCCTAAACCACAGCTTTTATGCTTCAGAGCCTGCAAGAAAAAGTCCTTGAAAATTATGCTATAGCATATTATCTAAAATGTAGACACAGTCACCTGACTTAGTCTGCATGGAACAAACATGTCTACAGAATAAAATGATAATCTAGATAAAAGATAAGAGAAGCTAAAAACTTCATAATGGAAGAAAAATTGAACAAAGAAGCTAAATAGAAGGGTGACTATAACACTTCTAGCCATATGGAAATAATAAAGTAGACAGACTTAGTAGAAGCCAATAGGAAACTGGACCAAATGATATGTCTTACTTAGCACACAGTAAGAGATTAGATAAACAATGTAAATTATTACCTACTCTTTCCTACTTTCATAAGATGAGTGAGTACAGTAAATTAAAATTTGAAATGTAACTCAAGAGGAATTAGTGAATGAAAAATTTGCTCCAGGCACAAGTGAAGATAATTTATTTACATAAAACTGTCAATAGGGTATTATAGTAGAGAGCCTCAAATTTTAAAAAATATAATGTTCCAGCAAGATCCTGACATGGGGCTTAAAAGGATAATGTCTACTTTGTAACATGTGAGATAAACTAATGGCAAACATACGCTGAAGTAATGGAAGAAATCCTAGTTCTTTATGTTTCTCATCCAATGGATAGGACAGCTTAAAGAGAACAGATGGAAAAACAGAATTTAACAGGAAAAAGATTTTTATGAAGGGGGTGAGATAAAGATTTCAGAATGAAAATTCTTACAACCATAACAAGGGAAACAACCATTAAAAGTGAAAATGTAAAAAGAAAGCAGCTACACAGGCATACTTTTAGCACAAATATGGAGAATGAAGTGCTAGGGCAATCCAAATTCCAATAAAGACAGACTTGCCTACTCTTGGCGGGGGTGGGGTGGGTGGGTGTTTGACATATTAAACTAAGAGTTAACTCTACATTCTTAGAGCTCCATTTGTTTAACTGAAAATTACTTTCAGAAAGTAAAATCAGATCTCACTAGAAAAAGGTAACCTCAAGCAGAGGTTGGTGGCACATACCTGTAGTCCCAGCTACTGACTGATGCTGAGGAAGGAGGATTACTAAAACCTTAAACTTTTTTTTTTTATTTTGTTTTGTTTTGCTTTGGTTTGGTTTTTCCTGGGTTTTTTGAGACAGGGTCTTGCCATGTAGTTCAAGCTGGCCTTGAACTCACTATGTAGCCTATCCTGACCTCAAACTCAGGACAATCTTCCTGCCTCAGCCTCCTGAGTGCTGGGATTACAGGCATGTGCCACCATGCCGATCAAAAACCAGTAAGTTTAAGACCAGCCTGGGAAACATAGTCAGCCTCTGTCTCAAATCAACAACAGTGACAAGGAAGAAAGAAGGAACTTTCAATTTATATACATCTGTCTTTCAACCCAACTCTATACTCCTAAATTCATCTTTATACAAACAATGAAAGAAAGGCTAGTAAATGCTTTATTAGCTTACTAGCCAGAGTAAAATCAGATCAAAAGGCAAGGTAATGAAAATATTGCTGTTATATACCTATTTATCAGAAAATCACAACTTAGCCCTTCAGGTATAAGAGAAAAGGTGTTTGCTATACAGAATACACACATTCTAAAGTCTACATTTTTGTTTTGTAGGTACACGTATATTTTAAACATCCAGAAGAACTACCTCTGAGATGGCTGTAAATAATTCTCCTGGACATGCCTTAAAGTGGGAGTCAGCAAATTTTTTTGCAAAGGGACAAAATGTAAACATCTTAAGCTTTGGGGTCATACAGTCTGTTGAAACTACTCAACTCTGCCACTAGAGTATAAAGACAGTCGTAGATAATGAGCAAAATGAACTAGCAAAACTCTATTAGAATAACTTAACTTACAGACATTAAAGTTTGAATTTCATATATTTTTCATATCTCAAAGTATTTTCCATCCAATTATATAAAAATAAAAATGTGAAAACCATTCTTAGCTCTCAGTCCCTGGAAAACCAGGCAGCAGACCAAGTGTGGCCTGTTGGCCACAGTTTGCTGACCGCTACCTTAAAGAATGCCAAACTTTATAAAAATTATATTCATAATACTACACATTAATTTGATGTCTTACAATTCTTTTTCCTTGAACTAGCAAAAGAGGGGTAACGTCAGGTTCATGTTCCCAGTTCCCAGTTTATATTTCAAAGTAAAGTGAAAGGCAAGAAAATAGGAATGAGAAAGTGGGAGAGCAGAGGTACCTATCCCTTTAAGAGAACAATTGGTCAAGCTATCTATACATTTGCTTAAAATAAAAGAGAAAAACATCAGCTCTAGTTCATATACATGCATGACTGAAATGTTCTTGATACGAAAAAATACACAACATGCCCTGAGGCTCCTATCATATCTCAACAAAGTGATTCCTAAGCCAAAGAAAACTAAGAGAAAGCCTCAGCTTTCATGCCAGCCATGGCACAAGGTCTATCATCTTCCTATCATTTGTTTTCTGGTTAAAATAATATTCACAATTTAAAATATCAGGATACAGTACTCCAACTGATAGCCTACCTTGCATGTTCCTGAACACCCACAATCTCTACTTCGCTATCCGAAGAGGCAATGTTAATTTCTTCATTAAGTGGTGCATTGCCAGTAGATGTTTTGTCACTTGCTAGGAACCCTGGATCCAAATGACCTGAGAGAGAAGGGGGTGGAAAAAAGCACTACAGTTTAACTTCTTACATACAGCACAAACAACTCATTAACAGATTTCTTACCCAGGTTTAATCACAGAGTAACTACGAGAGCCTGCCACAGCAAAACTGCTTCTCTTGTCGATAAGCTATACACCTGTTCTTTAGAAGAAAAAACTTTAATACTTTAGTAAATATCTCTAAATATATGTATATCCAAACTATAACACTCTTTAGTTCATTCTGTAATGGTTTTTGCAGTCAACTCTATCTGCTTTGAAATACCTGCATAACTAATTAGAGAGCAACAGGCAGTTTTCTGCTCTTTATCATTTTAATAGAATAAACTTTTAAACCAGGAACGCTCAAAGGCACAAGTATAATAATAAAAGTAGTCATTAATACCACATGTATCCTGGGATCCTTTGTGAAAGACATTATTTTCTTCCTCCAAAGGAATGCAACTTTGACAAAATCTGACCCCAAACTACATCTAAAGGGGAATACCAGGGGAAGATCATAATTTTGGCTCTGAGGAACTGAAACATACATAACCTGTACACTACTGACAATTCCCATTAGACACAAACAAACCACATACTCTGGAGAAACACAACTGTTTGTGGCACTGGGGCATGTAAGCTTTTCACCAGGGTCTTCATGAAGTGTTATTACTGTATATGACGCAATTAAACACATTATCCAGTATCTCAGGAAGCATGAGCTTCATAGACCTCTCTCAATAAAGGCTTATGTTATAACACCAAAGTTCATGGCTCCAAAAACTATTTTAGCCAGAGTTAAAATAACTCAACCTATGTGTCCAGCTCTGAATGTTTTAATTTAAAACCAAGAATTTTTAAATGCCTAGAAGTTAACATGGAATAAACAGAACTGCAATGGGTACACATTTTCATTCATTTACTCTTTAAAGGGATTTACATTTAATCATATTATCATCTGATACAAAACTATTTCTCCATATTTAAAACATTCATGACACTTTATACAAATTAAACCAATGTAAAGAAAAAAGTTTTACACACACAACTCTCCCTTTTCCCCATCTTTCAATGCTTCAAGGTCACTGGGAAATCTTTTACTTTCATACTTCTGTCAACTCTCAGTGGAATGCTTTCAGAACGGCATATGCAGTCTCAAAGCAAACTTTACCACTTTTACATGCTTTGACTTTCAACCCACCCGAAGAATTTACCATAAGGAAAAGACTTTTAAAGAAGAAAATGTGATATTCAAAGATATTCACAATAGTGCTATGTAGAAACATGGGAAAATACACATGTAAGTTTCATATATAATACTATAAAATAAGTAGATGCTGTATAAAGCTGTGAAAAGTAATTGTTGAAACGAGTAAGACTGCAGTTCTTTCCAATTCATGTGTGTGGGGACAGGGAGTACTGAAGACTAAGCCTAGGTCTTTTGCACCAAGCTACATACATCCCTATCCCTTTTTAAAAATTTTGAGACTAGGGCTAGCATTTAGTTCAGTGGCATCACACCTGCCTTGCAGGCGCAAGGTTCTGAGTTCGATCCCCAGTACCAAAAAAAAAAATTAAGACCAGGTCTTACTAAGTTCCTAAACTGCCTAGACTGGGCTTGAGCTTGCCATTCTCCTGCCTTAGCCTCCCCAAGTGTGGTGTGTGCCACCACACTTATTCTCTTCACAATTCTTTAATGTTACTTCTACTTGTGTTTCTTCAACTGAAAAAGATAAACATAGAAGACTAGAAAGCTTAAAATGTCTCCTAGATAAAACTAGTGACTGAGATTATATTAGGCTGCACGGATGTAACCTAGATGGGATTCTATACAGTGGCACCAGCAATGGGCATCGATCTTTGCTCTCTGTGAACACACCAAAGTTACATCTAGACAGATGGGGTGGTTACACACCTATGGTTAGTTCTGGCTACTCAGCAGGAGGATCACTTGAGCCCAAGAGTTCAAGATAAGCCTTCGAACACAGTGAGACCACAACAAAAAACAAAAAGTACATTCACCAGGTAATATTCAGTTTTGCTAAATCTAAGGTAGTCTTTTAAATGGAATTTGTTAAATGTAGAATTTGATAAACCTAGATTCTTGTTCTCACTCCCAGGACTTGGTTGTGGCCAAGTCATTTATCCAATTTTTACCTTGATGTTTTCATTAACGGCTATCATCATGCACACTGTTCCAAAAGAACTGCTAGGGAGGAATAACAATTGTATTGATAGTCTCTTTTTTGTCAAGACTTCAACTTATCCATATTCAATATCTCAAGTGGTCTTTACCATTTCCTTCATCTGTTTGTTCTTACAATAAATACTTGCTCGTGAGATGCTACAGACTCTGCTAGGAGCCAGGAATACTGCAGGGAACAAAGCAGGCATAATTTCTATCCTTACTGGACCTACAATACATGCAAAAATAGTAAAAAGCAGTCTTTTGCCCTTTTGTTTAAAAACTGCTCTGTAGGGAGGTACAGAGTAGCCTGGAAACACAGAAAAGGCACATTCCCCTGACTTGAGGCTGATCAGAGAAGCCAAGCTCTCTGGAAAGATTAGGCAGAGGTGAGGGGAAGTAGCACAAGAATCATTTTTGTTTCCTTCTAGGATCCAAATGTTTGGTGAGATTTGGGGTAATGGTGCTAAAAGTTATGAGAAACAAGGCTAGCATGGTCAGCAGAGGTCAGAGCATAGTGAGGACTCTAGATCTTAAGAAGTAGAAAGCCACTGAAACATCTATGAGGGATGAGTGACGCACTCTGGTTTTGTATTTTAGTTTCCTTTTGGCAGGGTGTGACAGTGCATGTTTATAATCCTAGCATCTGTGAGGCTGAGGCAAGAAGACCACAAATCGGAGCCCAGCCTGCACAACTTAGCAAGATCCTGCTTCAAAGTAAAACATAAAACGGGCTGAGGATGTAGCTCAGTGCAAGGCCCTGGTTTAATCCCCAGGAAGGGAGGAAGGGAGGGAGGGTTGGTTTTCTTTTGGAATGTTGAAATGGAACTGCCAGCAAGACAGGAAACTGGAGGCAAGTGGACTGCTGGACTTTCCTGAGTAAGAAATGACTATGGCTGAACCAGGGAAGGCACAAAATAGGGAATACTCTGTGCCATTTAGTGTACTAATGAAAGGTGAGAGTTATTGCTAATGTGCCTTGGAGATGTCCAAAAGGCAGCTGTAAATTCTGTTTGAAAGCTTGAGTCAGAGGTCTAAAAAGTAAAAGAGAGACTTGGTAAGTCCTGAGCAATAGGACAGAAAGAAAGGTCATCCAGGAGTAAAGCAGGCCTAGAGGAGAACCCTGATGGACACTAATTAAGAGATGCACAGGGCCGGGGATTTAGCTCAGTGGTTCCGCTGCCTGCCTTCCAAGCACAAGGTCCTGAGTTCGATCTCTGGTACCAAAAAAAAAGAAAAGAAAGAGATGGACAAAGAAGAGGAACTTGCAGAGAAAGAAAACTCCCAAAGATCTGAAATCATGGACAACAAAGATTGTTTCTAGGAAGACATGCTTAACAATACCCGTCCGATGCCAGGTATAGTCATACATCCCTGAAATCCTAGCACTCAGGGAGGCTGAGGCTGGAAGATCTCAAGTTTGAGTCAAGTCTGGGCAACTTCAGACTCTTAGAGAGATCCTGTCTCAAAAACTAGAACAGGGGATGTAGCTCAGTGGGTTCAAACCTGTCACTTCCCTCCAAAATAGATCAACTGAGAAAGAATGACTATGTAGAACCCACTAGAATCAAAATCAACAATAACACAATTGCAAATGAACCTGCAAGGGGGATCTCAGGAGTAATGTGGCTGAAGCCAGTGCAGCAAAGCAACCTGAAGAATAATGGAAGGGAGGGAAGACAAATTCTAAGAAGTCTAGCTACAAAGGAATGGAGACAGGATGGCACTAAGTGATGAATATGGGTTGGGGGAGGGGTCTATGCACCCTTGACAGAAATGAAATTGAAACTGAGACAGGACTAATGAAGGGCTGGGAATATATGTCCAACGAGGTGGAGAAATAAGAATAGAGTGGGGTAAGGAAGTAGGAGAGTTCAGAAAAGCCTGTGATCCACAAAATGCAATCCCCTGGGCCAGCCCCTTTCTCCCATCTTACCCTATACTCTGTTCTCCTCCTCGCTCTGACCACCCACAACTCACCTTGTAACTCCTTCATTGCCCTCTGGAATGTCTGCTCTATGATGAACTGCACTAACCTCTCTCAACCTCCTTGTGGAAACTGACTTTCCTAAAAATCCCCCTGCCACCCTCACAGTTCTCTAAAGAGCAATCTGCTTCTAACCCCAACATGAGGATCTGGATCACTTATACATTACTCTCTTCCACCCTCATATTCCAACAGCAGCAGCCTGTGTCCTGAAAGGATTACTCCCTTCACTGTCATATACTGACAATGACAGTTTTGCTCATTCATAAAACATTACTGGTATTTGGCTTAGGCTCTCTCTTTCCACGTTCAAGTCCTGATATCATGAATACCTTTGGGGGTGGGGGGGGATTGTACCCAGGGCCTTCACACTGAGCTACTTTCTTAGCCCTTTTGTGTATATCAAAACTGGGTCTCACTAATCACTGAGACTAGGCTCAAACTTGCTATCCTCCTGCCTCAGCCTCCCAGAGTGCTGGGATTATAGGCATACAACCCTCACCCCCACCCCCACCCAATACTTTATGTTTATGTGAACAACCACCTCAAAACTGTCCATGCCCACTTGCTAAGAATCAAGTACCTGAGCTCCAAGAGGCACTTAAACCTACTTGTGGTAGACTCACAGCAAAGGGCTCAGCCTGCCATGGTCCTAAAAATAAGTGAATTCAATTAAACCAGGCTTAAAAGACAGATTTTAAGAGTCACTGTTGCTATAACCAAATTCTTCCTCCTTGATTACCCAATGCTTTTAAACGACAGTAATTTGGTAAACATAGTAAGAATATAACATAACTAATTCATAGTACTTCTGTGCATGGGTCATCG